TTGAAAACGTTTTTTAAGTAGGAATTTCATTAAAATTCTTGAATTTGATTCATGAAGTATTTATAGAGCTCATTTGCAGTTTGAATTCGTAGAAACTTTCCGTATAATAACACTTTTGTATGTGCTCCAGAGCCAGAGCTGGTAAATAACGGGTGTTCAATAAAAAATGAGATTTTTTTCAGTCATAAAGCTAGTAAAAAAAATTCAACGAGTTCAGTATTTTATATTAAAAACATAATGTTTATTCTTCAAAAAAAAAAACGTCTATGAATATTGGAGCAGGGGAAAAAATGAAACTACAATGTGTTGTTGGTCAGCCGTACGATGCAACTTAGTCGCGATGCTCTCACAAGAGCGCTGGATGGCACTGAAATCATTCCCATTTTTTAATGGAACACCCGTTATTACGGCCGTTATGTGACAATAAGAAAACATGTTCTCTCACTATCACGAGACGAAAATACCTATCATGAGCTTTCTTGTCATTTTCCAATGTTCATGCACTCATGAGAATAATTTCCATACGGTTTTGGCATCTACATTTCCAGCTAATATAGATTAATTTTGGCAAACAACAGTATGTAATCTGTTGAGTGAATATATTCTTAGTGTTTTGGAGATCGATAAAGAAGTAAAACAAACTTCCTAAATATGTCGATAATGAAGAGCAGTTCGTTTAATAAACATTGTAAAATTTTGCTTTTCTAACAATAGTTTTCTTAAATCAACTACAGCATAGTTGTATTTTGAAGTTTGACGTTTGTTCATCTGCTGAAAAATATAGTTGAGCCCACCGAGGAGCCAACTATGGACTATATTTGTTGCCCTCTGTATATAGTCAAATCAACTATAGTTTCGGCTTATCTCTAAAACAATTGAACAATATAGTTATTTTGACCGGAAAAATAATTGCGACTGCTGTAATTTGTTCTCCGTGGAGAGTGAGTCACTTTTACTCATTCGTAAGGAGAAATTTCTAAAAGCGTAGGATATACAGAGTATACTCATGCGCTGAGTGTTCTACGCTTTTAGAAATTCCCCATAAGAATGAGCAAAAGTGACTTCAAACTGAGTAAAAGTGAAACATTCTCTGAGCTAGTTTCGTTTTCACTGTTTCGACTAGATGGGAGGTTGCTGTCTTTAGTAAAGTTCGAGGTAAAGTTATTCAGATCGATAAAACCCACTTAAAAAAATTCCACACGTTTGATCGAAGTGTTTAAACACTTGATTTTTTGAATGCACAATCAAATTTACTTTAAGTGTATTTCACCTTGGTTCAAAATGTTATACACGTTAATTTCTAGTGTTTCAAACTTTGAAATGTTGAAAATCTTTCACTATCTAGTCATGTGTATTGCACATTGAATCACACTACTGTTTAAAACAGATGGACTTAAAGTGTTTTACATTTCAATGCGATGTGAATTGCTTGCTAAGAAAGGTAAACATCTAAAACAAGAGTTGTGACTTTATCCTATCAACCCGCCTCATATATATGAGAACAACCGTGGCACAGTGGGATCGAACGAAGATTCCGGCAGCAGCACACCCCAACAGTCCATGATCGAATCCCAAATCAGACCCATTAAAAAGATATGTGTAAGCTCTTGGCCCCTGGCAGTTTTGTTTATATATTTGTCGATTCATTGTTAGGGTCGGCAAAGCAGAAGTCGATAAAGTAGAATATTGTAGAATATTGAACTATGATGTGCAAAGCTAATGATATCACCATATGAGGCACATAGAATCCAAGTGTGTCACATTTCAAATCCATAGTGTTCAGGCATGGTTCATAGCATAAGAGATTCACACATGAAATAGATGTGATTCACAATAAGCGCAAAATTAAGTGAGACACATGATGATGACGTGTAGAATTTTTTGAGTGCCTATTGGTAAATCAATGTTAGCCCACGTAGAGAATAGAAACACTATGAAAGTGACAGTTGCAGATGCTAAGTTTCAAATAACAGGCTTAAAGTTGTCATTCACAGCAAAAAAAAATGTAATAACGATCAACGTAATTCAAGCTGATGTATGAAATAATGCTGTAATAGCAAAAAGCAGATACAATATTACATCAATGGATGTAATTTTGTTCGCAAAATCGATGTACATCGTACAATGTTACACAACCGATGGAAACTCAGCAGTTTCGATGTAATATTCAACAACTTTTTTTGCTGTGTTGTATACGATAGATGAGGAAGTTGATAGTTCCGTTGGAGAACGGCAGTGTGAAAATAATATATAGAGAGTAGAAAGCGAGCAAGGACAACTTTGAGGAAGGTACGAATCGGGTTGATCATCTCTTCTACAATTTCCATTGGGGATCATTTGATACGTTTACTTTTTTGTGATACACACTTATTGTCATTGTTGAGGACAAACTCGACGATCATCATAGATGTATATTGTCTAGCATGGAATGGGATCTTTGATCCTGGTGACGTTGAGGCTGCAGCGCATTCCGCACTGTCTTGGTATATGTCATTGACAGACACGTCCCGAAAAGAACTCACCGTCCCTGGCAGACGAGAGAGCTACGCAGGTTGAAGTCAATCAAGAGTGAAGATTTACGAAGTATCACACGCTTCCTCTGAAACTTCATTATGTGATGCTTTTCAAGTTTCCAACGAGGCATCCAGCGCAAACTTAAGCTACCCCGAGATCCTTTGGAACTACGTGAACGAGCAACGCAGGGAGCTCGGCCTTCCATCGTCTGTGGAATTCAACGGAGAAGTTGCTGCCGCCTTTTTTCTAGTGTATTCACTAACGAGATACTAAGTGACGACCATATTATCCTGGCTGCCAGGAACGTCCCAGTAAATGGTCAAAAGCTGAGTGCAATTGATGTTAACGCTGAGATGATTTCCAAGCCCGCGACTCTGCTCAAGTGATCCTTCAATCCTGGACCTGATGAAGTTCCATCGATCTGCACTTAAGCCAGGCATGAACCTACGGAAATTTAGTCGTGGCCTATGCTGACTTCGTTTCTATTGCTATCGGCTTCTGATGACATTGACATCTGAGGTCCATTTGTGAGGCCACCAGCCACAAGTTATATACCGCAGGCAGCGGTTGATGAGACCTGCAGCTTTTGAGTGTTCTCCACTGGTGCTGCACCGATTCCACATTTTAATCGAAGTTTCGAATTTTGGTACGTTGACCAATCTGATTTGATCTCCGCTTTTGTGTAAATGTCATATTATCACCGACCTTATTACCATCACCTTAGTGTGTGACATCAGGTGTACGCTCCTTTGTGTTTTCGTTACCAATGCAGTTAATTTGACACGTTTGTTGCATTTTCGTATGTCTCACTCGTTCATTGTGTTATGGAAAGAAAGTTAAGGTTAGATACTATTAGTGGACATGTTTTGTAACCCATTTATTGTGTCTGTTTACTTGTTTATTCGTTGTGCGCAATTAGAGAGAGGATCAGACAGAATGTGGAAAAGAAATTTATTAGACTAGAAGAGATCAAGACAATCTAACAAAACTTGCTACGAGTGGTGAAATGGGATCGGATGTGGAAGAAAAATCTATTAGACTAAAAGATATCAAAGTATAACAGGGCTAATATTACTTGCAACGTTGCAACAAGTGGTAAAAAGTATTGACTTGTTAGTATGAAAATAACTAAGGGTGACAGTGATGACACATTAAATGAGGCACCACTAACAGGTGTGGATAGTTGTTAGCTTTGGGATCCTGTTAGTGTTAGAGTGATGTTAGTATAGACCCGTAGTGAGCACTTCCGGTCCCCCCGACCACAGTGGCAGGCAGTTGTTGTTATTTCATGCGACTCTGTTGCTGCAACCAGGTCGGAGGTGTGACCCACCAAGAATCTTAAAAGGACTAAAAACATATTTCACAATATTGTATATGAATTACATATTATTCTTGCTGAACCACCGTCAAACCCACTATCCAGAGGCAGCGATGGATGTAATGTCGGCCTAAATGCCCCTTATTTGGGCCCATACATCGACATTCAGCAATCGACTAATTTTTCAATAGCGACCAAACATAGCCATTAGTACCGTCTCAATGACGCGTTCATCTAGATAAATTTGATAAATAGCTGATTTTTAGCGATGGGCCCAATGTTAGATCTATAGGCCAACATTAGAGCCATTTCTTGTACCTACGATGTGTTGAAACAGTTCTATCGATTGTACCGCACTCAAGCCGTTATCTGAAGGGAGGCATATAGTCGTAGGTTTGGAAATTGCAGCTTTTGTTACCTCTACCACTATATGTACTCCTGTCGGCATTTGACTTCTGATTACTTGCTGTGATTAACTTGACTAGATAGAACGCTGCTGTCTTTGGAAAAGTTGTTCAAATTCCGAATCGTTTGTTACGTTTCAACTGGAATTATGCTTCTGTCTTCAACTTTCATTTTATTTGCCGTTACTTGGGAAATGGACTACACAAAGAACTTTTTTTTGTCAGCCTTCGTTCGAACCATGCCAAAAACATGTTGTAAGGTTCGCTCAAAAACAATAATTATGGTTTAAACAAATGTATACGGCCCAAACAATTTAAAAGAAAATATGGCTGAATGGCCACGGAGGGGAGTGTGGGTCTAAATCTCTGCCCTCCCCCCAAACTGTTCACGTGGAATGTGGATAGCCTTTTAGAACTAAGTTGATTCGTGTTACATAAGCTGAAAAAGTTTTTGTTACCTATCAAAAACCAATCAAACCATCAAATTGTACTTGAAAATGCGCTCAAATGAGTTTTTATATGATGAGATACAATAAAAAGTTGACCAAAATGTCTTATACCTAATGCGAAAATTTGTGGTGGAGCGTGTTACCTCGTTGGCGCGTTTGACATGATTTGCCCATTCCTATCTATCGGTAATTTAATTAAATAACGACTTAACAAGCCAAACACTTCTCCACTTACTATAATCTTAGCTGGGGATCGATTTCGAAAGCACACTAACAACAGTTTATCGTATTTAACAGTTTCCTTTATTGAGCTACATTTACCGAGCTTAATTACGGTATACTTTTTTGTTTCTATAGTCATGAGAACATTAGCAGATTTCTTCTTCACTTTTTGCGTAATAAAATTTACTGGGCTGACTACGGAGAAATGCAGTTACCAACATCTAAATGTGGAACCAAAAAATCGAACATCTTAGCACAGTTAAACGAACCTAAAATTCTGCTTGTCCCGAAATACCTACAATGTTGGAGCATTCGATTTTGTACTTCTACTTAAACGGAATAGTTTTGTCTTTTAGATGTGATGCTTTGCATTCCGAGGCGCTTATTCCGTTTTCTTTGCTTTGGCCTTTGTAGCTTTCTTTGGGGTAGTTCTACCGGTGGATTTCTTCTTCTTATCTGAGTTCCAGTAGTACAGCAGTTGGCTCACAATGACAGCATTGGCGAACGATGAGCACCCATAGGTTATGACCATCATCTGATCACCAGTTTCCTGGATCGAAGTGAAGATTCGTGCCAACGATCCCGCCATAAGCATGAAGCATGTCACTGCCGACAGCTGACCAGTGCCTCCGTTCTTGTAATTTGTAAACGCTTGCGACAGTTTTCCCAGCAGCAGAATAGGAACGTTGAATCCTTGAGCAATCAGAAGATAGTTCAGAGGCGTAAACCCTCCCATCAGAACATACGTCACAGCTGAATATACGGTGCCGAATGCCACAGCTTTAAGCGGAGCTCCACCAAAGTGCAACACTAATAAGGCAATAATTGCCGTTTGAAGGGCCAAGAACGAGGTGTCTCCCCAGGCACTGAACGGGAATCCACTCACATAGCTATATGCCATGTGGATCGTAATTGCGAACAGATCCAGACAAACACTGAAGAGGTTGATTCCCTGGGCCGATTTGTTGGCCAGAATTTTGGTAATCTGAGGAACTTTAACCAGCACCGAACCGGCAATAATTCCCAATCCCAAACCCTTGCTCAGGAGAGCTTTGAAGCAGTCCGCTGATAAGGGAAAAGAAAACAGAATTGATCAAACTGGTTAGATTTTATCGACACCACACATCACGCTCTGCTAATCGCCCTAAAAATAAATCCCCTTACCATCGAAGAAGTCAAAGTCTACGAAGTAATTGTCGTAACATTTTTCGTTCATCAGAAGTAGCATAAACTGCTTGGCGTAGTCCGTCGTCATGATTATGCGGCTTTTCACCTGATCTTGTCCTGGATTTACAGAGAAGCATAATTAGTAAACCCATTTACTACGAACTGAGAATACCAAATAAACTATTATTTTTATGTCTTCTACTTACGGCCTGCAAATAATACAAGGGAAAGTAAGGATTCGGGAATTTATTCTGCTGCTGCTGGAACCGGGGAAAACTGACGATGAATCTTACGATAATCTGCGTTCAAAGAACAAGACGTGTCAGTGTCACACAGCAGCAACTTGCCACTCGTGGATGACAGTTCTTTCTCGTTGCGTTTGCGTTGGCCGGGTTCAATGTGATAGAGTACAAGTGAGGCAATGTGGATTTTGTCATCTCTTTCTTTCTTGAGCCGTTCTAACAAGCAAGGAGTGACGTCACATTGGGTGTTGCAGTAGAACACCCAGAGGAGAGTATGAGATAATAAATTCTCATTGTTGGACCTGTCCGCTGATACATTGAATCGATTCGGTTGTAAACAAACCGACCGAGAGCGGCGGTCATAGAGGACAGTGGATCGCGTTCTCAATGTAGGATGATAAAGAATTTATGGAGAACTTTGAGATTGGGGTGTAATTGCTTATGTAAACCAACAAACTATACCAAATGATAGAGGAACTATTCCTCTACCTGTTTGTGTTATTAGTTTGATTGAGTTGAGTTAGATTAAGCTTTAACTCGCGAGAAATCGGCAAATGACGTGTTTGTTTACAAAAACAAGTACGCCCTAATCTAGAAGTTCTCCGGATTTTAGTCGCATAGGAACGAGGGGAGCCAACGGAGGGATCGTTAACTTCCGAAAATCTCAGGTTGTTTAATTTCGAAAAACAACGGTTTTTATACATCATCTTAAAGCTCTGAAAGAGCTTCGTTTTTTGAGGACAACAATATTTTATTGATCCCATAGACATTCATCTCAAGTTTAAAATCATGATTTAATTTTTTAATTTTTGACACTTAACCAAGCCTAGCAATGCATTAGATCCTAAAGGCCCAAGCGCAATGTGGGCGGAAGCGGAACGGAAACGGAAAGTTTGACAGTTGTCAGTAGTTTTCAACCCGACAAGTAGGCTTACTCAGATCGGGCTTTTCCGCTGCCGCTGCCGTTCCGCTTCCGCTGTCATTGCGCTTGAGCCTTAAGTTTCATTTTACTATTTTCACAGACAAACAGACATAACGCATGGAATATTCATCACTGTAAAACATCGTCACTAAAACATTACCGCCATCTGTTGAGTACGCTGTGGTGGGTAGTACGCTGAACAGATGGCAGTAGTGTGAGTTATTTGACCTCTGCCCGTTTCATTTCCTCTCGCTATTGTTGTCAAAAATAGAACGAAAGATTCGACTCAACCGTCTAGTTCCGTACGAGAAACCAAAATTGAGTAATATGCGATATACCCAAATTTGAGTTAATTGAACTTAATTTTGGGTAGAAAAAATTGAAAATAACTTAGCGATGGGTAATTTTTTTGCCGTGCTTAAATGCAAACTACTTTGAGCCGGTTTACCCAAATTTGGCTTATCGTACGGAACATGGAAGATGAGTGAAAAGAACTTAATTTTGGGTTGTTTTGAATTTCTGTGTACCTATTAAGCTGTCAAACCGGCTATACCTATGTGCAAAGTACACAAGCATTACGATGCTATGAAAGGTCCACGAAAGGTATTGCAATTAAATCTATATATATAAAAATGAATTTCTGTCTGTCTGTCTGACCCTTATAGACTCGGAAACTACTGAACCGATTGGCGTGAAAATTTGTATACAGGGGTTTTTGGGGCCATGAAAGGTTCTTGTGATGGTTCAAGACCCCTCCCTCTTCTGTAAGGGGGGCTCCCATACAAATGAAACAGAAATTTCTGCATAACTCTAGAACTAATCAAGCAAATGGAACCAAATTAGGCATGTGGGGGCGAGTGTGGAGGTATAAGGAGATAATCATAGGGGGTAGCCCCTTAGATAATAGGGGGGGGGGGGCTACGTACAATATAGCATGCTTTTTTTTAAATCGGCGCATAAACTCAAGCTAATATTGAATCCCGAGCAAGACCGGGCACACTCAGCTAGTATAAAATATAATCGAATAAATGGTCATATACACGCAGTGAGCATTACATTTGTCATGCGATACGTTTTGTAATGATCAGTAATGACAATTTCTACTATTTTTATTTAAGATAATTCGACAAAATCCCAGATATAATGATTTACTACAGCCGTTAATTTTTTTCCTCGCTAAAAGTCATTTGAAGTTGATGCAGAAGTCCTCTGTTGCCAAGTTAAAAGAAAGTGAATCTTTCGAAAACCGTGATGCGAGTTCAACTGTTTTTCTCTTGGCGTGATTCATTATACACCGACTCTAGAATTTTCCTTTCGTTAATAAGTTCAAGCTGAACATTGCATTAGGTGTACCATTTGGTAAATTGTCACTTAAATTTGACATTTCGAAAGTTAATTAAGATGTTCGAAAATTCCTCTGTTGTTGATCGGCCGATTTTCAAGAAGGTTTCTGTCAAAATTGATTCTTTGTCTGTCAGAAATAAGTCTGCTGGAATAGCAGGTTTATTTGAAAATTTTCCATCTGTCAAATTTAAATGAAAATTCATTTATGGCGGTAAGCTCCAACTCGGATTAACTTTTAATACCGTCCCTGTTTGGATGATCTGCGAAGTGTTTGCATAGCATCGTGTTGAATAACTCTGATGTCGACATCAAGCAGCCGGACATTCTTGATCGGGATTTAATCCGAGGATAATACCGATTGGAGCTTACCGCCATTAATGGAACACAGCCTAAGTAACATTGATCGATTCTCCACCGAGGAAAACTAAGATGATGATTTTTGCTAATAATATTGATTTAAAATTCAAGATATATGTCTGGAATCGATAGAAATATCGCTGTACTCAGAAAACGAAGCAAAGAATTCAGATGGTGTGTAAAAACCGGTTTACTTTTCGAAATTAAACAAACCAATTGATGAAATTTTGGACTTCGGTTCCATTATTAAATCAACCCATTTTATCGTTTTTTTAAGCTAATAAATAATAAGTTTCTGCACAGAAAGAAATTCCCTCATACCACCTTTACCTTTTGGCAAATTTATATTGCTGATTAAAATGTATAGGTCAACTAATAAGCAGACGCCAAAAAGTTAATGAAGAGCATGTGTCAAATGAAATGTATAAATGGTCACACTTACCTTTTATGCATTCTTATAAGATCTATATGGTTGATCTTAAGAAATGTACTGCCCATAATCGCATATCAGTCCCATATGGATAGGAAATCAAGCAAAGATGGGACTGATGTGCGATTATGGGTAGTGTATTAGGCTGATGTTTATGCATATATAACTGAAACACATGAATAAAACAAATAATTTTCGTTTCGTGTAATGTTATCTCATATGCAGCCATTAGCATAGAAAACCGCACTGAATACAACAAATATAAATCCAGAAAACAGCCTTAATAGGCTTCTATTAGGTTTGCTATAAAAATAACTAGTTATTTCAAACTTTGCCGCTTCATCAAATAAGCATTTTTATTTGTTATACTATCCCTCAGTCAAGAAATGATCCCTCAACTTATCCAGCGCTCTGAACCTGTGTGAGATTTCGTTCTTCTTTTCCTTGGGCAGCTCAGCATAAGTCTTGTCATAGCCTTTGGGTTGAAAGATGGGATCCCAGCCGAAATCACGACACCCACGTGGATATACAATGTCACCATCAGTGCGGCCTTGGAACAGCATTACCTCGCCATCTTCACCCGGAGCGTAGGCAAAAGTGCACACTGCTTGAGCCGACTTATCCTCCCACCCGTCCAGGAGCTTGTGCAATCCTTCGGGCTCCAGCTTTTCGAGGAACCATTTGATGTACGGGCCTGCGAAGATCAAATCATTATTGCTTTCTTTACTCTATACGGGACAAATCCCGCAAGACCTAGCTTACCGGGCAATCCTTTCAGGGCATTGAAACACAAGCACGTGTCTTCCACCAGTACCGGTCCCTTCACGCGGCGAGCAGCTTCCAAGCACTTTTTCTTGCAGATGTCGTCTACTTCCCCTTGCAACTCCGGCAAATCCAGCTTGACGGGCAGCAGCTCACGCGGAAACTTTGGTCCAAGAATGGCGCGCACTTCCTCCAGTTTTTTGGCATTTCCGGTGACGAATGAAATCGGGCGGGCCATCTTATAGCGCTTTAAAATGTAATATTCGGCCGCCTTGCCTTGCGTTGTCGATGGATTATAAGGATCAGGCTATGTTATGATGCACTCGTTGTGTAGTGCTACAAAGAGCTACAATGTCACATTCCGATATATGAACGCAGCCCGCTGTGACGCTTCACATCACTTTGCTGCAGGCCAGGTCTGTATTACAAACTGGCAGCAAACGTCAAAAGTTCAGCTACATTTTTAACACGCGAGTGATTGTTTTTCTTCAATTTATCGAAGAAAATCCGGGAAATAAGTTCAATCTGAAGCAATTAACGTGCGTTAGAAGCTAATTTCAATGGCATCCGCCACGCCACAGGTAAGAAATGCTTCGTAGTGGTACTGAAATTCGCATCCTTTCGTTGCATCAAATGTCAAGGTTGTTCGGTAATCACTTTCATTTGTTTCGTCATTCTCTTATTTTTTTGCAAATTCTACTACGTATCAACAAAAATATATTTAGGGGGCCAATCTGCTATACGGGCTCCGCAAGTCGAAGAAGTTCGCCAAAGGATGGGGAGCCCAACTGCCTGTGGCCTACAAGAAATTCTGGGATGAATGGAAGAATCAGCAACCTGCGGCTGTTCACTATGTCCCGAAGGATGGTATGAGATCGTTTGCTCTTGTGTTGGACAAATTGTGTAATCACAGCTATTCTCTTCCAGGAATGTTTGAACGAGAAGACATAACCGGGCTAATAACGCCAATCCAGAATGTGCCACTGCCATTGATCGATCCCCTTGAGGCACATCAGGGTATCTGGGGAGGAGAAGCTATCGTGAAAGGTTTCCAAAAGCGAAACCCAAACAAACGACGTGTTCCCCATTTTTGGGTACCTGTCCTGAGACGTTCTGTCGTCCATTGTCAAGTTTTGAATGAATACATGGCCGTTACGGTTACCGATCGCACGCTGGATCAGATCCACGACAATCATGGTTTTGATCACTATTTGTTGAAAACTCCGGCTTGTGATCTACGCTCGATGCTTGCCATCAAGCTAAAGAAGAAAGTCCTTGTGGATTTGCTGGCAGGATGCCCGAAACTAGCCTCTCAACCGGAGAAACAACAAGCCGCCTTGAAGGAATTCGCTTGCTACCTTACCCAATACACCGAAGAGGAAATCGATTGGTACGGTTTGACCTACGTGGAAGCCGTCCTGAAAATCAAGACCGAAGTCGAATCCAAGGAGGACAAACGACCCCATAAGGTGATTTTTCGTCAAAAGTTAATCGAACAGCTGAAGGAAGCCGGAATTAGCGAAGCACAGGGCACGACCGAAGAACTGAAGGCAATGGAAGATTCCAGCTCGTCTTCCTGGCTATCGAAGCTTAGCTTCAAACCTAAGAACTGGTAACCGGAAGTCAGTAAGTATAGGCAAAACAAATTCTGTTCTATATTAGTATGCCGTTGTTAGTCGTCAAACATGCTGCTTTCCTGGCAGTGGGAGTGGAAAAATAGACATGCTCGTTCAAAACAAAAGCTAGTACAAACCAAGTTTGTTCGAGAGGATAGAATTTCGGTGGAATTGGAAGAAAGTTCTTGCTAAGGTATTGACTAAGGGGCCATACTTTATTTTTGTCACGCTAAATTGAGGAAACACTAACCCCTCCTCCCCCCTTTCATCAAGTTTGGCCTATACCTAATGCATTGTTTGTCACAAAATCTTACCCCCCTCACCACTCCGCTCCTTAGAGCGTGACATAATATATACATCACCCCTAATATATTATACGGTCGCATAAGTAGTCTTGCATGATTTCGCTATAATTGGGTTCATATACATATACGTGATTGCCAACATTAAAGGAATTTTCACATGCAGTTGCTACGCACCCCCTAGATGGAGCAGTTCCACGAGATGCTAGATGGACTTACCGAAGAGCTGATGGGACAAAGAGCGGTAGTCATCGAAGGATACTTCAATGCTTTGGCAGTGAAATGGGGAATCAAATGTATCAACGCAAGAGGGCACATTCTGCTGGAAGCTCTGGCAAAGCTGAAAGTTATTCTGTCCAATGAAGGCATGAATTGGAGAGTGTGCGAAGGATATACCCATAGCGACCATCAGGTGAGCCGATATGGCATCGGCCAACGGAATCCTGTGGCAGTACGGAAGACGAGACGACCTGAAGTGGAAGACCAAGGCACAGACAAACAGACATAACTCTTAGAAGAAAATTCTTCAAAAAATATCGTCAAGCGTATTTTGCATGCACACTAGCACCCTCTATCATGCACATTCCGAAGCATTGTTAAGCAACCGGAGCATCCCTCGTTCATGCAATTTTTTCACTAGCTGCTTTTCCCTCGTTATGTCAGCTGTGTTGTTTAAAAACAAAACAGATAGAAGTCAGTGCTGTCGGTTCTATGAAATATTTCGTATATCTATAGAATTGATTGAATTTTGCAGAAATACGGATCCAAAGGATAAATTCACAGAAGCTCAGTCTTTTTTGATTGTTACGTGAATGAGTCTGATGCACCCTATTTCGAACAAACCACCAGACGGAAATCTTAATGTGTATTGCATTCTATGTATGTCCTGTAATAAGAGCGTTCCGTTGGAAGGAGATTCTCTATCCCTACAGTGGATATCGTGTAAGTGCATCAGCTTACAGGTCCACACCTCCGTAAAGATTGCAGGGTTACATAGTCTGATCTTGCCATTAAGAGGAACTGTACGTTATGGCAAGTCCTGCAGTGGTGGTGGCTTCTAATAACATCACAACATAACATCACATTTGTTTTGATTGTTACGTGAATAGGTAGTTTTTTGTTGTTGCTGGAAACAAGTTTTTAAACGTGGTAATGCATCACTAATTAGTGCTCTTTCTACTACCGCTCATCACTTTAATGTGTACAAAGCAAACAATATGTATCAATCAATGTTATTCATGATGTATTGAACACCAGCTACTAAAAGTGGATACAATATTACACTCATTAAAATGATTTGTTCACAAATTCTGTGTACATCGTATAGCGTTATATTACACTACAAACGGAACGACCAATCAACTGCTTAGGTGAAATATTCAACAACTTTTTGTGTGCATTCATCAGATTATGGGTTCAGTAACTACCCGATTTTGACGGCCCCTCCGTGCATAAGTCTTTTATCACAGACAAACAGACATAACACATTGAATATTTCTCAATGTAAAACATCGTCGCTAAAACATTACCACCATCTGTTGAGTACACTGTGGTGGGCACTACACTGAACAGATGGAGATAGTGTGAAAACTTCAAACCCAAGGGAATTGACTATGCGCGCCACAGGTGGCGTTACTACCAACTACGATACTTTTAAATTGTCCGTTAAATGCTTGATCGATGAACAACTTGCGAGTGTTATGTCTGTTTGTCTGTGCTTTTATCATTAATTAATTCCATAAAATCGTAATTCCAAATCATTCTCATGCATATTCAAGATGGGTGTTTAAGGTATACTTTGGTCCAATTAGACCAATGAAAAAGCACATAAGTTACGTAGAACATTAGAAAAGATTTTCAAAAAAGGGGCTGACAAAATCGGGTCATTACTGTATATTTCTTCTGTGGGATCCTTTGGTCCCCTTATCATTATCAAGAGCTTCTTCTTTCCTTTATTTAACGTCCGTCAATGTTCCGCAATCTAGTGCCAATCACCGACGGACATCGATTGCCATCCATTGACGGCAATTGAATGTGCAGGAAGGCAGCTTCCACACCTGCGTAGGATATCGCACCCATTCAACACACACCAACCGGGCCGGGAACTACGGCTTTACTTCCCTTCCGAAGGGAATCTGAACGCGGACGAATTGGCAGAAGCGTTAGTAATAGCATGTGACACGACCATGCCGAGGAAACTGGAGTTTAATAACAGACAACGTCTAGCTTATTGGTGGAATGAGGCAATTAGCGGTTCTATAACATTCCCCAGAAAACCATTCCCCAGAATGCACCATTCCCCAGAAAAGATGATGAAATTAGTAATTTATCACTTTTTTTTTTGGTCATTTGATATTATATTTCAGTTTTATATTACAGAACAGGCGTCCATAAATAAACAGGTCCGCAAGTATCTCGCACACTGAATACATAATACATCTTCTGAATACCAATTTTCTCGATAAATTTTACATATTTGATTTAATATATTTTTCATGATAAAACTTTCTGATTAGTTTCACTTTACTATTGATGATACACTACGTTTACTTTTATGGAACTATGTCATACCTTTCTGGGGAATGGTACATTCTGGGGCATGGTTTTCTGGGGAATGTTATAGAATCCAATTAGCAGTTAGCACCCTCTGCGCTAGTTGTCTCAGAGCCAGAAAAGTGTTCAGAGAGCAAGAATAGAAGCCGACAGAGAAAAACAGGGGAATCTTGCGAGCGGCCAGGGACCCACATATACTAGAGATAAAGCAGAGCAAGTCTTTCTGTTTCAAGGAGCTGTGTCGAGCTGATGCCAATGATGATGGCGAAGATCAGAGGTCAAACGATGCCCGCTGAAATGTACCCATAGAAGCTGAAAGTCATCGTGGAAGGACTTTTCCCGAAGCACGACCCAACGACCTGGCTACCTACATCGTACGGAGAGGGAGATAACGTCGATGTAACCAACGACGTGAAGAAAGCTCCCGATCTAGATGGAATCCCCAACGAGGCGTTGAAAGCGGCGATCCAGGCGTCCTCGGACATGTTCAGGATGGTGCTGCAAAAATGCCTAGACGAGGGTCATTTTTAACTTACTTGATCCACATCGTTCGCCCGAACAAATTGACGGTTATAAAAGGTTTCTAAATAAGTTTGTGACCGAATTTGAAAAATTGTATGATGAAGATAATACCATAAAGGTAACTCTAAGACTAGAAGGTCCCGAAGAAACGTGCTCAATTCGTTGGCTCAGCTCTGGTACTCTCTTCGGTCCCAAGTTAATCGATGCACCCCTCGAAACCCCTCATTTTATCTGTCAAACTTTCATACACGACGAATGAGAACGACCCAAATTTGAGTTTAGTTGTTGTTATTGTTGTTATTGTTTATTGAAAAATTCAACTGACAAATACTGTCTAAATGAATAAAACTTAAACTAAATAGTTACGGTCAACGGTACGGAAAAGGCCAAGTAGCCGATGACGAAACACGTCAGCTGATACATTGAAGTCGAACATATAAAAAAAGTTGTTGAATTGCCGGCTGATTGCTCGAATTGGCTCGTGTTGTGTATAATTCCGGCTCCGTGGTTCCAAAAACAGAAAGTCGCGTTGACGAAGAGACCTCTCAGGGGCATACATATTTAGTTGTGACAGCAGTGTTGGGCAGTCAATGTCACCTGTAAGCAGCTTTCCAGCGAACATAGCTTGAGCGACCGTCCGTCTCACCTCTAATGGCTCGATTCCCAGGAGACGGCAACGCTCCTCGTACGGTGGCAAGTTCGTTGGGTCACGCCAGTTGAGGAAACGAAGAGCATATCTCACAAACTTGCGTTGAACGGATTCAATTCTAGTGATCCAGCTAGCATGGAAAGGGCACCAAACAACTGAACTTGACTCCAATAAGGATCGCACAAGCGAGCAGTAAAGTGACCTGAGACATAGCGGGTCACGAAACTCGTCGGCAATTTAAAAAAAAAAGCCCAATTGTCGATTAGCTCTGGAGATGATGTCATTGTAGTGGATTCTGAAAGTGAGTCTGCAGTCCAAGGTAACGCCGCGATCCTTTATGTGCTCTACACGAGCAAGACAGCGTCCGTAGAGAACATAGTCAAACATGATTGGTTCAATTTTTCGGCGGAAACTAACGATTTTAAATTGGCTCACTACTTGACTAGCCTATTGGTCCCAAGCAAATCGATTAACGTACCCCATTCTAGTCGAAATACTAGTACCATAGAGGTAACTCTAAGTCTAGAAGGTCCCGAAGAAACGTGCTCATCTTTTTGGCTCAGCTCTGGTACTCTCTTCGGTCCCAAGCTAATCGATGCACCCCTCGAAGCATAGGAAAATCCACGAACCCCTCGTTTTATCTGTCAAACTTTCATAGCGAATCAAAACAAACATAGTGTAGTACTAGAATTTCTACTAGAATGGGGTACGTTAATCGATTTGCTTGGGACCAATAGGCTAGTCAAGTAGTGAGCCAATTTAAAATCGTTAGTTTTCACTGGTTGCTAGTACTGCCCTATGAAAGTTTGACAGATAAAATGAGAGGTTCGTGGATTTTCCTATGATTCGAGGGGTGCATCGATTAGCTTGGGACCGAAGAGAGTACCAGAGCTGAGCCAAAAAGTTGAGCACGTTTCTTCGGGACCTTCTAGTCTTAGATTTACCTCTATGATGATACTGTGTATTGTTCTGTAATCTGTGCAAAGTTATCCTGAATTGGACATAGTAGAAGATCCGTGTCTGAAGATCTTCTGTGGACCATATTGTCACGCTCCGTATCATCCTGGATTAGTTCTTCGAATTCCAAGAGTCCCTGCGTTTAGTATTCAGTGACTACGAAAAAGCTTTCGACAGACTCAATCACAAGAATCTGCGGAGGTCTGAGGCGTAAGCTGCTGTTTTTTGCATGCCCGTCACATAGCGAAAATCGGCAAGCCGTGAAAATATGGATTATTGCCCTAATAAAAAATTACCACAAACGAACGATAACCCAAATCATTGAACAATTCCACAAATGGTTTGGATGATACCCCGAACGCGTCGTTAAGCAAATTAACCATACCATTTTTATTAGGGTAGCTACCATTTGCATTGAAAAACTCAGTTTTGACAAAAACGACTATGGGACCGACATGCGAAGAACGGCAGTAAGGGAGTTCCCGATAAAATCGTCAACCTCATCGAAGCTTTCATGTGCAGAGTTCTGTATAACGGAGACTTGTCCCGACCCTATACGGGTAGTCGCTGGAGTGAGGCAAGGATGTATGTACTATCACCGCTACTGTTCCTAATCGTAACTCGTCGTTATGTTATGCACCATAGACCATAACATTGACTAGAGAAGTGCGAAACTCATCAAAATCGCCATCATCTTACCCCGCCTGGGAACAATTGCACAACACCAATAATGTTAAGCCGTTGATGAATGAATGCTTTTTCAACCTGACAAATCTGAGAATCCAGTTGCCTTTTTGGACGTATCCCAAACAACATGTGACGATCCTGAGCAATCAGTCCGACATTGTCCCATAGCTGTGCACCTTTGCGGCCGAAACCGGTCGTCAGAAATTTTAACCTATTTCAACGCTGTAAGAACAATTACAGTACTTGTTCGCAATTACAGTACGGTTGTAGCCCAGTTAAAAAGCAGTCATACGTCAAAAAATGAACGTCACATTTAGGTTGACATTTCGTTGTGAAAATTATTGAGGAGACTTGTGTGATATGTGTTATAAGTGTTAATATAAATAAACTTGATTTTTTTTTCATTTCACGCTGAAATCAGGACTTTACTGCGTTTTTAGTGAAAGCGTTAAGCCATTCTAAACTCGCGAAATTGAATTCTGTGTAAAAAATAATAACAAACTTTACACTGCTTCAATTCAATGCACATTAAATTTTTTAACGTTGATCAAACAATTCATCGAAGTTCCCCTCAGTGCTTTTTGACGTTTGACAAGTCAGGCCAGCTAGCGAGTGGAATTCGCTAACTGGACTGCGCTTTTAGCCCAGTTAGCGAACAAGTACTATAGTGATATTTCTTGTCTCGTGTCGCGTCTTGTAAGCTTTTATAATTCGTACAATGTTCATTGTTGATTTTACTAATATAAACTGTTTTATTCTATAATAGGTATATATGTAGGAAATCTTCCGGTTCTTTGATTTTTTTGAAAGTTCTTCAACCTCCTAGTGAAATAGATTTCGGTTAAAAAATTGATTTAAAAAAAAAAATATTTATTGCAGTTTAATAGCGTAGGTATTTGATCAATGTTTACAAATGTAAAATTAAACAGCGTATAGGATTATGGAATTAGATCTTTGAAAGGTAAAAATGCAAGTTTCCGGTTTTTTATACCTTATCCCAACTATTATGACTAGGTTTGTTACTCGATAACAGTCGACAACGTCAGCGTTAGCGTTTGCTGCAATTGTTGAGATTTGGCTTATTGGTCGAAAACACTGATTTTAAAACTTACATTGTTAAAATTATTACAAACATCTTAAGGTTTAAGAAGGCATGTTTACGCTTGTTAGTCTACTATTGTATTTTTTCTAGATAAAAACAGCATAGCCAAAAGACTGCATGCAGAGAAATGATTTTTAAATTCAAATGGATATATTTTTGGCTCAGGGCCTAATATATTTTTGGTATTGATTCAAATATATTATTCGGTTAATTCAAAGAAAAAAATTTTTGAATCAACAAACCGGTTGTAGAATAAATAATCTGTTTGTTGATTATAAAAACCATTTTGTTGATTCAAAAACATGTTTTGTTGAAATAGTGATACAATATGTTTGAATCAATAACAAAATACATTAGGCCCTGAAACAAAAATCAATTTTTCTGCGTGTATCACCTTTATTCTCATTTACGTTCAAACAGTATTTTCCATACAAAAATTTTTTTTTTTTTTTGGTATGAAAAATACGATTTCAACGAAAACGAGAACATAGGTGTATACCTTCCCTTTGATCCATACTTTAAAACAAGTCCTAACATTATTATTGATCAGTGGTACAGTTTTACAAATTTACATTATGCACGATACATGATCTAGTTTTACTAAAATTACATTTAATAGCGTCGTACGAAGAATCTCAATTAGTAAGTTATCTATTTTACCGTTAGACTGTTAAGCAATTGATTGATAATGACTTGACATATACCGTCGTGTTGGGCTATTTTGAACACATTCAAATCAGTTGACATAAACATACTAGACTACCCATTAAAGCATAGCACTCACATCTTTGCTTGATTTCTTATTCAAATGGGACTGTTAACCGTTTATGGGTAGTAGAACAGTCATTCTGAATTTGAGGAATGCGTCAGTAAAGTATAATTTTACTCCCAAAAGCAGGAAAACTGTTACAATTTATCCACACTTATACAAATTACCTCATCATATTTGCTGACAATTTCAGAAACACTTTAAATGAACTTTTTTTGGCCAATTCCGTTTTAAAAATCTACTTTGAAATATTTTGCGCTCTTGCCACATGAAGTGGTGTAATTTTGATTGTACTTTGTGTAGTGGTTCGCGGGTCAAAACAAAAAAGTTTGAGAACCACTAGACTTTAGGATTTATTGATTTTGTTTGCTCTCCAAATCGGTTCCAAATGATTTGTATCCTTTTAAAACATTATTTCTATTATATTTGTACACGTTTTCAGAGTTGGTGATCTGATATATTGAGGTTACAGCTTGACTGGCACCTGATTCATTATAGTAATGCTCCAGTGCACTTGATAACATTTATTAAAAAAATATATCACTTGAGTTTATGATCCACATGCTCTTGGTTCCTTACAAACACGTTGACATTTTACCACCCTCAAAAAGTATTCAAAGAAGCCCGTCACGAAGGTTCCTACACCGAAAAAGTCAATTAAGCCTAGGAGATCAAAAGCTTTAAGATTCCAAAAAAATCTTATAATCAACTGATAATGTACTATTCAACATCACTTTTAATTTCAGGGTATATTTTCCTATCTAAAATCCAGTAATTTAATCACGAATGTTTAACTACTGTCCGCTCTAGATCACTTTCCGAAAAAGTTTATCAACACTTCACCTGAACGCCACCCGCGACGGCAGCACTTGCGATTAAGGGAGCATCCATAAATGACGTAGCATATTTTTGATCAATTTTAGACCCCTCATCCCCCCTCGTAGCGTATTTGGCTATATCCAATACATGGCCGGTCACAAATTCTGAAACCCCCACCTCCCCCCTCAAATGCTACGTCATTTATGCATGTTCCCTTAATCATTTTCTAGCATGAAATAGTTCCGTAGCACTCAGTCTCGCGACAACGTGAGTTGTATCAACGGCAGCACCTTGACCGAGGATAAATCTGACAGTATGGCTTCGATGTTTTCCAGTGTTACCACCTGCATCAGGCTCTCCCGCCGGAAGCTTAAAATAATCAACGCCAACAGCGACAGGATTTCCAAACTATCGTACCCCAAAATCAGATCCCACAGAATCAGCAGCTGCTCCGGAGGAAGGTGACCACTGAAGGCACGCATCAGCCACTTGAATACCACGCGAATGCTGAAAAGGAAAAATATATGTCCTGTAGGCATACACTTTATGGAGAATTCGGTTAGCATACGGTTGAATCTGCAACTCCCGAAAGTGCGACCAAAGCTGCGGCTCGTGGGTCTGCAGAAGCTTCTCAAACAGCAGACACAAACTGACGATTCCCTGCGGATGGGTGTTGATTGTCGTCAAGCGATGGCAGTAGCGAACGTAGAATGCACGAAATGTGAAGTACAGTGATACGGGATTATCGTACAGGTAGCAAAACGGTGCTGCCAGCATGCAGATTCCGTGAAACGGCACAAACCCACAGGCCGGTCCTTCGTATTGCTTCAGTTTCGCCGAGTTGGTAAACTCCGTTTGGATCATCTGACTGATTTCCGAATCACGACTGAAGCAAAGCATAATCTGAAAATTTTGAAGTCTTTAAAATAGGGGCTTCTAAACATTTCTCCCTTCACATTCGACCTGATAGAGAACATCCTCGAATACAAAGTACCGATCATCATTGGTAGCAGTCAATTGAACGTCCTTGAAGACTAACTTGTCTACTATCGACTCCGTCGTCAGTACCGACTGCTTCAGATTCTCCCAATGCTCGGTGTGCTAGAATGAATAGGAACACCAACCCGGTTAGCAGCCATGTAAACCCGTGCCCACCTACCTCTTCGATCCTAGCGATCAACCACAAAGAGGCTTACATGCGCTTCCACCTGGCTACCGAGTACGTAGGCCCACAGATGTCCTCGGAGCGGAGGTGGAGTGATGCCCTTCTTCAGCGCTTGCTGGCAAAGTGGGGCATGACGCGTCTTGAGGATCTTCTGACACGTGACAGCCCAATCGGTCGAACCTCCGTTGTTGTCGTTGCGAAGCAGTTCGGAAAAGTGCACACGCAGCTCGAACAAATTCTTCACCGGTAGAGAAATGTGCGAAAATTCCCACTTTGGAAGAAAACTGAAAAACGATTTGATAAGTTTAAGTTTGCTAGCGATTTGCTGTGACGAGAAGCGGAAGTATTTTCTGTACTCTGTTTCGTCCTGTTTGACGGGGCCTTTCAGGGAGAGGAGCACATCGAGCAGATCTTTCGGGGCGTACACCGGCCGGTAGTTGGTCAGATCGATCTGGTAGTTGCTTAATTCGTCCCACTTGCCAAGAATCTCCTCCCGATCCGTAGCCGTTCGCATCTGTCCTTGCAGTTGAGCCTTCGATTCGGAACACATGGAGTTGAGAGATTTACGCACACGCCGTTCCCATTGGATGCCCGCCCGTCGCAGGTAGTACAACGGATCACTGGACGGAACCGTGGGCTTGGATTCTGTCTTGAGCGAATTTCTAATCAAGTGATAGATAACATTGCGGATTTCGGTTTCCAGACCGTTCGCTTTGATGGCAGCCTCGAGGGTGTGCTTCATATCGTCCTTGTCTACTTCGGGCGAGCACGCGAGCTTCTGAAAGGTCATATTTGAACGGGTTTTGCTCACTTTAAATTTGTCGTGCTCTGTTTGGTGTTGTGCAAGCAATGCAAGATACTCTGTTACACTACCTAATCGTTTACCTACACGAGGTCCTACAGCAAACAGCTCCGATGGATGATTTCAATAAGAGATTATCGACTACTAACAGATAGGAAGACGTTTTTTTCTCTACAGTTCTGCAAAGTTGAAAATACTATTCTAAACTAATGTCTAGGTACACTACGGCAAATAAAGTTCATGAGTTTCATAACATCCATCTAATGTAAGAGATTTTTTTTATGTATTTTAAACCCATTTCATACACGGTTTTATTAAATCCCTATTGTGAAAACAAGACTAGTGAAGCAGCATCTGTAGATTTCGAACAGTTCGTCGCCGTTGGAAATGGACGTTCGATTGGAAATTGCATGCCACTGGAAACTTTTATATATGCATAATAGCGAAGACTACAAATCAAGAAGACTGGCAACTGTTGCTTTCTCCCATACAAATGTCAAACGTCACTGATAACAGCGCCTCTGTCAATTAAAGGTGGAACTTTGAAGCACAAGTGTTAGTGAGACTGCTCATAAACAGTGACTGTGTGTGTGACCTAATTTCACCGAAACGAATAATCATAACACGGTACTCGTTGTTGTTTTTGTTTTGCTCTACAAAATTTCACGGCAATTTGATTCCTAATCCCAGCAAGCCGGTAGTTTTCCAACTTCAAACCGAAAAACTTGTCATGGAGGATAAAGTAGAGGATTAAAACTCGGATCGATATCTAGTGAAAGTAACTTTTACTTGTGAACGAGGAACTGAAATATTTCTTATTTTGATACATATTGTTATAAGGAATTTGCAGCTTCCACCACCATTGAGTGAACTACCGTCATTCCGAAGGATTCAAAAAGGAGAAAAATCCGATACTTACAACACGATCGAATGTTGGAGAAAATGAAAATGAAAGGTTGAAGAACTACAATCCCAAACGGTACGTATTGATAAAGAATATATTTCCATTTTAGATGTTGTCAGAACCTGAAACCACCGGATAGTGATCCTCTGTATGATTTAAGAGTTCTTGGAATAGACCGACTCCTTCCAAAGAATGATAACAACAGTGTCGGATTGGCCAGTGACATTCAAATGGTCAGCGAGTATTGTGCCAAGTTGCCGAGCGTCACAACTTAACTCCCTCCGCTGTGGCCAGGTGCCAAAGCCGTGCGGAACGGGCATACATTTTACTAATGCACCATACGAATGCCCATAAATCATCACTAAATGGCTTAGGAAAAGTGGAAGATAATTCTGAGATAGCAAATTAATGATCAAGGAAGGTCCCACCATTATTGTGAATGGCATCATTGCCATAATTTTAATTTTTAACACAAATTTACTTACACATCTGTTTAATTTCAGCTAGAATTTTACTCGTTGTCAGCACTCAAAGAAAGAAACGTTTCACGTTTTACGACAACCATAACAAAACCAATAATTGACAGCTATTTATTTCTACCTATGCGAGGGGGGCGACTCTATCTAAGATGCAGGAATTTTTTTACTTTGCTGTTGTGAGATGCACTCGCGCTTAATAGATAGAAACACGATTGATTATAAGAACAATGCAAGTAGATGGGTTTAGATGCAAGAGATGAAAAAAGATTTTTCGGAGATTGATTCGCTAGTGTGAGATTTTTCCTCCATTTAAAATCGAGATTTAGATGTGTCGCACCCCTCGTACCTATGTGTGTGAATGCACTCGTTAATCAACACACACCATCATACACAGGTTCCACTTTTGCTCAGAAGAGGCGTTGCCGTTAGTGTCTCCTGATTTTTGGCAGAGTTGCCAGTCTTCTTGATTTGTTGTGTTCGATAATAGCAAAGACATGATATCAAGAAAACTGACAAATTTGCCAGAATCCAAGCGACAGATACAGTAGCGCTGCGCTTGAGCGAAGGCGAGGGGGACGACACATCTAAATTTCAATTCTAGATGCTCGAAAATCTCACACTAGCGAATTAATCTTCCAAAAATCTTCTATCATTTTTCGCATCTACTTGCATCGCGCATCATCCTTTTGCAGGAAATCTTCAGAATCTGCATCAATCTTCTTTCAATCTCCTCAGCGTGCACGCAGCTAACCACAGCAAAACAAAATCTTTTCCGCATCGCAGATAGAATCGCCCCCCTCGAGCGAAGGTGGAAGCAACGCATAGATAAATGAGTAAATACACAAAACTTTCTTCTAAGGATGTAATCTTTGCTATCAAATTCGTTCGAAGGATTTACCTTTGAGCGGCAGATGACGCGATTGTACCTGTTTTATAACGGTGTACGAGAAAATGGAAGAGTTGCAAGTCTTCTTGATATGTTGTCTTTGATAATAGGCTGTCGAATTTTTTGCTATGTAATCCATAATCCACTTTCTGACAGCCGTAGTAGTCTCTGTGCAGAAAACCAGCTCTAAAAAGCACTCTGAACGCCCCAAATTCGAGTAATTTTGAAATAGCGTGTGCATAAAGGGTGTCCACGATGAAATTGCCACGCTATGAAATTGCTCTAACTTTTTAACCGTTAGGTAGAATTTAATGAAAATTTGGGTGGATTTAGTTCATAGTGCATTATTTACATCCTGCAAGTTTTAAAGTCCTGTGATCAAAACTCGCGGAAATGGAGTCGAAAGAACAGCTCGTGCGTGATAAAATCTTGCGCATTCATCACGAGAACAAGGATCTCTCGCATCGTTCCATCGCTAAAACGTTGGGAATCGCGAATTCCACGGTGTCGCGAGTGATTAAGCGGTTCGAGGAACGGTTGACCACCGATCGGAAGCCCAGAAGTGAAGGAAAAAGTATTCCGTACAACACCAAAAATCACAACCGCGTAGTTGGGGCCTTCAACCGAAATCCGAACGCCTCCGTTAGGGATGTGGCTAAGAAGCTGCACCTAAGCCGAAGTTTTGTCCAGAAGGCCAAAACTAAGGCTGGGCTTCGAACGTTCAAGGTACAAAAGGCCCCTAATCGCGACGAGAAGCAGAACAAGTCCGCCAAAACCCGTGCCAGGAAGTTGTACCTCAACATGCTGACGAAAGTTGAATGCTGCATCATGGACGACGAAACATATGTGAAGGCCGACTTCAAACAGATCCCCGGCAACCTGTTTTTCACGGCCAAGGATAAGTTCAGCGTTCCGGAGCATGTCCGCACTCAGAAGATGTCCAAATTTGCGAAGAAATTCCTGGTTTGGCAAGCCATCTGCACGTGCGGGAAGCGGAGTGCACCTTTCGTGACCCAGGACACGATGAACGGACAGGTTTACATAAAAGAGTGCCTCCAGAAGCGGCTGCTTCCTCTCCTGAAGGCCCACAACGTCCCAACAATCTTCTGGCCGGATTTGGCCTCATGCCACTACTCCAAGGACGTGCTGAAGTGGTATGCGGACAATAAGGTCAATTTCGTGCTGAAAATGTTCAACCCTCCCAACACTCCGGAGCTCCGCCCCATCGAGAAGTACTGGGCGATTATGAAGCAGCACCTTCTTAAACGACCTAAGGTAGTGAAGACAGTCGAGGAACTGAAGAAAGTATGGGTTTACATGCAAAAAACGGTTGATTCACAGGTTGTGCAGAATCTTATGGCCGGGGTTAAGGCCAAGGTGCGGGCATTTGCGTATGGACTGTAAATAAAATACGAGTAAAATGGTAAAATGAAGTTTAATAGTTATTTCTCAATCCCTGAAAATTTGATGGCAATCGGATGAAAACTAGAATTTTGCGAATCAATTTTGTGTGTGGCAATTTCATCGTGGACACCCTTTAGTACTGAGCAGTGCTTTGGGCCAGGTCCTGTGTTAAGAAAATTAGTTGATTTTCTGCACAGAGACTACTGACGCATACAGAAAGTGAATTATGTTTCGGGAGCAGAAATTTGAGAACGTTGTTGAAAATGAGACAGTCTAATGCATGATCATTCACAGATATCGTATGTTTTCTCCTCTCTTCATAAATATAATAGTTCTCGTGCAACACGAGAAAAGGGCCTATCATTGTTGATCGATTATCTTCATCGACTTTCTCTTTCACGAATAACCCAACTGCAAATGAATTTCCCATTGAGTGTGTTGTTTCAGGCGCAAGGTAACATCATCTTCTGTCGAGCTGTGCTTCTGTCGTTTATGTTGCCGTGATAAACCAGAGAGAAAGTTGGTGAAGAGAATCGATCAACGATGATAGGCCCTTTTCAAATGTTACGCGAGAGTTGTCTAAAACAGTGACACGAAAAAGTCACAAAACCATTCAAATGGAACGCCAGTGTCTAAATAAAGCAATGCAAATTCAAGCTATAGCTATATCTATAAATTCGTTTCAACTCTAAAATTGACCATGGCATATAGGGAAACAATACGAACTTGTACCCAATATGTGGCATATTTCGTTTTCGTTTTTTTTTTTTTCGGTTTGATAATGCCAATTGACGCGTCGACAACCATGGTGAACGAACGGAAGCTTATACCTCGTCCACACTACAGCGTATGATGCAGAATTCTATCGGGTACGAACATTTTTTCTCTGTGCATCGAATGTTTATAATTATGCTTGCGAACACAATATACGAATGCATAAATGGCGCAGGCTGAGAGATCTATCAAATAACGACTGCAGAAATGTTCACAGAACGCTATATTGGAAGTAGATTCTAAATTTCAGTTACGATGTAAGGATGTTAGGATGCAAATTTTATTTTAATTTTATGCAACCCCCCCCCCCCCCTCCTAAATTACAAAATATTGAAGGGGCAAAAAAATTCAGCCCTATTCAAATCTATCACTTGCTCTGAGCTTTTCCTATTTTTTAAATTAATTCATTATTAAATTAGTAATCATTTATCAATTCGCAATAAATATCCTGAATTAACTTGGCATGTAACTTAAAATTGTAAAATCAATGTGGCCAAAACATCCAAACGTAGGTTACCTGCTAGGTTCAACAAGTTCAGAATATCGATTCCACTACCTTCGATGAATGCCCATCAGAAGCAACAGTCAACAACGTAACAACGTGTTCTGTATCCAAGGGCAATAATCTACTATAAAGTAATTCTCCAACAATCGCATAAACCTGCTACACTCTGCCTGCACTAAATAAAATTCATAAAAAAAAAAAAACACATACAAACTTCTACCGATAGCAACCTAGTTTTCTACGTTGACAAACAATAAGAGTAGGTACCACGAGAGATACAAACACAAAATAATTACACAATCTACCGAGGAAGAAAAGAATCCCACCTGCACCATCTTATATAAACTGCCGTAGATTTTCATGGCTTTGATATCCTCGGACAGCTTCAAGGCCGTATGGTGAATACTGGCATCCTTTAGTTCCTCCATGTGTTGATTTCCGTTGGCGCTGCCGGATGATGGACCCTTGGACGGTGACGAAGACTCGCTGGACGACGACGCTGAACTGCCTTGTTCTGTTTCTTGTTCGGCTTCTAGTGCTACCTCCAGTGCTGCTACCGTGGCTGGTTCGATCGCGAGCTGCGAAATCACTGGTAGTATTAAAACGTGAATCTACTCATAACTACCATCAATCAATTCACCCTGTTTTCCCTTTTTACTTCTGCCCACTCCGGCATTATTCTGGCTTGGTATAGAGTTGCTGGGATGCGCGACGCTTTTTTCCCTTTCCTTTCCGATTGGCAGGTTTCCTCTGGGACTCGAAAGGAAAACGCAATAAATACTTGTGTTAAACTGTATTGGGGGCAGGACTTTCGACAACGCAAGCGAAGAGAGTTGTGCTTTAGAGCAAGCGAGACGGTAGGGAGTTAATTAGTTACGACACGCCCTAAGCTATGTCTACGCCGTTCTACGCTTCACTAAAAAACGAAACCGAAACAAATATATCAAATTTCAAAGCGCGGTTCGTACGGATTTAGGCAAAAACTTCCGTCTGTCTGCCTGTTTCCTCTATTCTACACTATTTTATTATAATGAGCCCGAAGATAGCCAAGGGAAGTAAACTTGCAAAAATCGGAATTGAATCATTATTTGTAAATAAACAGGCCTTGGTTGCCGGGGAAACAGTCGCGCAGGAATGCGACGAACGGGTTGAGGTTGGTCGTTTCAACGACGTAAAGTTGGAATATTGGAAAGGGTTGATAGGTTGGGAACGACACACTTAGCAGGGCCATCCACCCCCATCTCAGAAGCAACGTTTAGCCGTTATCATCTTGATGATGGTTGATTAAACATCAACTAGAACAGATTTACAATCCATCGCTTGCTTGGGCTGGGTAGAACTTGTGACCGGTTGAAATACGCAAAATACAAAATTGAAAAAAAATATGTTCCGAGGGGGGGGGGGTCCCATAGTAGGGTGTCTAACGTTTTCAAGTGGCTATATTAAGTCCTTAATTAATAAGCGCTTAATATTGAATAAACGATGCGTTACATCATCATGCAGAAAACCAGCGCTCACGGACTTATTTTTTCTCAATAGGCAATAGGCGAAATCCATGAAATTAACAAACCATCAATGTCCCTATAGGCAAAGTCGGTTAACAAAATGAAAGCAAATCGATATTAAAGATTGCAGTTCCTATCATAATGAATACTCATTTTGATTACAATTGTCACGACATTAGTCTGATATCATATTGTGCTTTCATTATGCATTCAAGACATTTTAAATGAAAGCAACTTAACTTGAAGTTCTGCTGTTAACGTCTTGTTTAAAATTTAAGTTAAGCTTATCTGTCGTTGAACTAACGATTATTGTTTAATTGTTTTGTTTAACACATTTTAGGTTATTCGTAACCAACCCGAGGTGACATTTGAGCTCAAGTCTTTCAGCGTGAGAAGCTTGGATGCTAACCATTTACACCAGAACCGTATTCAGTCAAACATTATGAATGCAAAATCAGTAATCAAATTGATTTCATTGAAAGCAGGATTAGTTTTCCGTTTGATTCAACAGTGTAAAATTTTGCTCTCATTTTTGATGTGTTAACCGTTAAGTCAACCAAAATGAGATCAAATGGAGTATTCAAAATAAGTTACATCATAACAGCAAATTCTGATTTTAATTTGATCTCTAACTTTGCTCGGGTATACCTACTCACATCAACAAATTTCCAGTGATTCATCAGCATGTTAGTGATAATAAGATACCTAGGGTAAACGCTCTTATTGTTGCGATACGTTAGAAGCGTTGGATTATCCATACCTTGCTTCAAACACAACTATAGGAACCAACCGCTTCTAACATACCGTATCTATAGGAGCGTTTACCTACGGCAAGCAGTGGAAAGACCGAGTCAGTAAAAATACACTCAAAATTATTTCATGTCAGAGTTACGTGGAAACATACAGGGGGTGGCACAATAAGGCTGTCCCAGAGACAGTTGCGATCAGCTGACATTTTTTTTTACCAAGAACTTTTGACCGATCGCAGTAGTACTGGCAGTTTATTCTCATATGAATTTCTGCTTTGTTTATGTTTACATTCAGCACCAGCACCAAGTCACTCACACACTCTAGATTTATAGCTGCCAGTTCCACTGAGAAACGTCTCTTGGATCACCTTATAGAGCTTTTTGACGTTTAATCGGCGCACACTACTGCACCATTTAAATCGAACGAGTGCGAGTAAGAGGGAAACAGATTAGTGGGAAAACAAACTGTCCATTCATTCATGTGTGCTAGACAGAGAAAAACGATTAAACGTCAAAAAGGTCTATAGGCCGATTTTCATACAAACTAGCCAACTTTGACATGTTGCAACTATGTTTTGTTATGATCAATTGAGCTGAAATTTTGACACTGAACTACAAATATGCTGAATCTTGCGTGTACGTAATATCAAATTATTGGAAGCACTTGCCGGAATTTGACGGGCTGGTTGAAAATGACTAACTAATTAGCAAATTTATAATTCTAAATTGATTCTGATTTTCTGGGAGTGACTAGTTCTTCATTTACACATACACACATGCAAAAGCTCAGACCGACTGGTTGAGCCCTGCCGAGAAAAAGCGTTGGGTACAATTCAGTGGGTAACGCGTTCTTCAGGGGATAGTGTGAAAATCCGCCGATATTAGTTATGGGCAAATCACCCACGGCGCAGCTTACCCGTGCAGCAGCTGAATCCAAAAATGACCTTTCACCAACGAACAGGAAATGTGTAAGAAAAGTCATGACCTACCTAGTTATTATCCATCTCATATCTTCCCTCTCTTTTGGTATAAAAGTTATAAAAAGTATTGTTAAACAATAATTAATGATGATGAATTACTGAATCTTGATCCATCGCTTCCTGTTACCTCAATCCCAGGTCCCCAGCATAGCCTTCACCCGGCTATTGATGATCGGTATGCCATCCGCCGAGTGAAACTCGCGTCCTGTAATGATGAACAGTTCTTTGAACTGCTGCGTCCGGTGGGTCAGCTTTCTGGCGTGCTCTGTTAGGAAAATGTCTAAACACTGCAGCGCTTCCTCGGAGTGTAGACAGTGGAAATTCAACATGTCCACATTGTTCAGCGTCAGCTTGTGCACCTCCATGATGGCATTCGAGGCCTTACTGCTGTACATAGCGATTTTGGTTCGATGAAGCCGGGCAACCTGAACATAGTACTCGGGCACCCCGGCCATGCCCCGCTGAATGGCATTTCGTGCCTTCTCGTGGCATTCGTTTCTCAGTTCCTGGTGTTCCTGGGACATATTGCGTCTTCGCTGGATGACGGTACCTGTTCGACCGTTGGATGCGGCGACGTTGAGGGTGTACTCCATTTCCATAATGTCGTTCAGGTTGGGGGAATCCTCGATGGTCATTTTGAACAAAACGGGATACTTTTCCTTCGCTTCCATTTGCTGTGCCAATCGAGCATCTTTTTTCATAAAATCTTGTTTTCCCCCTGCAGCTGTACATGGAATCCAAGAACGACAAATACAACTGTTCTGCCATTTCGGTAGCCATGAAAACCTTTGTTCGTTCATTGGTTAGTTCGTCTAAGGAGATGGCACCCGAGCCATGCTTATCCTTGAAAGTGGCGTGTAGCTGGCTTATGAGATTAACTGACCACTTTGTCAAGCAGTTTTGGCGTGACTTTTTACCAGCGATTTCATAAAACTGGACCAAATAATTTCTATTTTTTTATGAAACACACAAATGTTGGCTACTTTTCTCGAGGTTCTAGAAGAAAAAGTCTCAAAGTAATGTTTTATTTTAAAGTTCGAGTGGTAGTAAACGTCATTTTAAGTGCTCGAATAAAGTGGTTGATTCCCAACGTCACTTCCAGCACTTAGGGATCGTTTTGCAAATCTTCCGCTTTGTATTTTCTTTTCGTTGTGTTCCGGGGTGATTTCGAACTGACGGTAGACCGATCGATTTCGTAACCCCCTCCACCACCACCACTACCGGAGGGATCACCGGAAGGCACTTGCGATACCATTGTTTCATTGCAATCACATTCAAACGCAAGTAGGCCGCCAACCGCACCGGCTTGTAAATTATCCGCTGTCTCGAATTCGTATGTCTTTTGCTCTTCTAGTAACAGATTTCCTGTCTAATCACCGTGCCCATTGCAGTTCTCGAACAAATCCCACAGATACTGGACCGGAATCTGGGGATTGAGGATGCAAATTTCCGAGAAGCTAGTGTTTTCATTTTTGCATCCTCGTCTGTGCCTGACCAGAGCAATCAGTTTCTTTTCCGATTTCTTCTTTTTGCTGGGCTTGACTGGCGTCACACCTGTGAAAATCCGTCCTCACTCGTCTTCTCAGAACGGCCATCCCGGTCGCGTTCTCTGCTGTGGCTTTGCCACGGCTAGTAGACGATTTTTGCAAATCCGTCCTCATTCGTTTTCTTAGAAGGGCCGTCCCGATCGCATTCAAATTTCCAATTTTCCTTGCAAGTGGGTGATTTGCCCTTTATTACCTATCGGTGGTCTCCAAGATTCCAGGTTCGTCTCCTGGCAGGATCGCCAGAAATGTGAAAATCCGCCGATATTAGTTATGGGCAAATCACCCACGGCGCAGCTAATTATTGTTCAACTTACCCGTGCAGCAGCTGAATTTAGCGGAGGCGAACCAGCCCAAGGCTGAAAACATCCTTAATAAAGAAAACCTAACCTAACCTGAATCCAAAAATGACCAACTAACAGGAAATGTGTAAGAAAAGTCATGACCTACCTAGTTATTATCCATCTCATAGATAGCTGTACTGAATAAACCTTTGAATTTTTCAAGACTTTGAAAAACAGGGACCCGTAAAGAAGGCCGAATCACAAAATGCCAAACACAAAAGGCCGAAAATATTCTAAGGTACCACTAAAGGCCGAAAATCGAAAAGGTCGAAAACCAAAAAGGCCGAAAGCCAGAAAGGCCGAAAACCAAAAGGCCGAAAATTTATCAAAAGCTGAATTTGTTGAAAACCGCATCCAAACAATCTGTTAGCCTTTCTGCTTGCACAACTGACTCGGCTCTTTAAATGGTTTGCATTCACAAAAAATGAAGGCAAGATGCGTGCCAAGATGAAATCAGATATAGAGGTGTTCTCACTTGCTGACTTTTTGGGAAAAAACAGTTAGTGGTAAGCTGCGGGTAAGATAAGAGTAAAGAAATGAGAGATGCGATAGAGGTGAACGGTTTATTTACGCATACACAATATTCTGATTGGG